CACACGCTTGGAACCAGCTCCCTCGCTAGTCCGCCAGAAGAACAACCTGTAGAAGATAACACCATTTGGGTGCAGTGGTTCCTCCCAGGTCACCTTGATGGCGGTAGAGTTCACTGTTTTGGCGACAACATTTACTGGAGGCGAAGGTCCTACGAGAAATCAAATCGTAGGGTCACTAACAACTTTGAATTTCCCGCTAAGAGGAGTACAATATCCACATTTTTAGAGTTCAATGTTGAAAGACAGGTATGCTCTGTCCATGATGTCAAGTAGAAAAATTGACCTTGGTAATCACTTTATTATAGTTATTATACTGAATTTGTTTTCATTAAGCAATTTTCAACAAAGTGTCGAAAGTAATCAGGATTACTTTAGCCTTGCCTTACTGTGCTCTGTGATTGGTTGATAAAACTGACGCCACCGTCTCAACCAATCAAATACAAAACGTCAACGCGCGACTAAGTCAGTCGCGTTTTTCAGCGCTTCAAACAGGTTGCCTTTCCTAACTTTGACTTCTGATCGGCTTCTTGCGATATTTTCCCGCGCTTCAAACAATTCGCCTTTCCTAACTCTGACTTCTGATTGGCCTCTTGCCATATTTTCCTTCCTTCTGATTGGCCGTCGTGACTTCTTCGGTTTAGGTTATATTACACTCAGTAAAGTAGAAATGCGCTCGATTGTTGTGATCATTCAAATGTTCATATATTTTTTCGTTTCTTCTCTTGTTTGTCGATTCGTTCGTTCGCTAGCTTCCGTGGAAAAAACAGAACATTGGTTAATTATAGCGTGAGACACATCTTTGGTTTTAGAGCAGAGGTTACTCCGAAAAAATAGTCATAAACAAAGTTAATTCAGTTCATCCTTCCTCAACTTACTGTCTTCAAAAGTTGTGTTGGAAACTTCTTCACTCCCCGGCCCGTCACCAATAACATTAACTGCGCTAACTGCAAACCAGTACTTCGTGAAACTGGTTAGGTTTTTTACTTCAACGCTGGTTTTGTTATTAGCTGTGTCAAGATTGTTTAATTGGCCTGATTGCGTTCGATATGCCACAACATAACGGAGAATAATTCCGTTCTGCTCTTTGGGAAGAGGCGGGCTCCACGTGACTTGTATAGACGTTGATGAAAGGGTCCAGGCTTGGACGTTTTTCGGAGGACCTGAAGGCTCTGAAATTGAATCAAAGTTTCAAACGAATCACATCACATTTCAGTGTACAGTTTGCATAGTTCAGAGTATCTCACTAAAGTACATGCCAAAATTTTAGTTAAGTTGAGTTTGATAAATACAAAGTTAATCAAAGACATACATCGCAAAGTTTTTTCGTCCATGCGCGCATAAAAACCGTATATGCACGTCTGACTACCCTGCGTCTGAGCGTATGAGATGCGTCGCGGAGTTAACGCATACGTGAGCGGAACTGTAGACCGTCTTACTCTTCGAGTACTCTCGGTACTGTAGACCGTCTTACTCTTCGAGTACTCTCGGTACTGTAGACCGCCTCACTCTTCGAGTACTCTCGCTACTGTAGACCGCCTTACTCTTCAAGTGCTCTCGGTACTGTAGACCGCCTTACTCTTCGAGTACTCTCGGTACTGTAGACCGTGTAA